CTGTAAATCCCCATGGTGGCTGTTCCGCAAGGATCAAGTCTCATGTCAAATACACCAAATCTACTCACAGGCTTGGCAGCACCTCAGCTAACCAGCCCTCCTAGAAACAATGCTGCTGGGAGCCCACTGTGGATGGACACTGACTGTGCACAGAGCTAGCATGGGTGAGCAGGATTCATCAGCCTGACTTCAGAGGAAAGCTGGCCCCGAAAGCCTCACACCTGAGACAATGCACCTAAGCTAGGAAACTTGTCCAGACCTGAACTTACACCTCCTTCTCAGCACCAAGCTGCTCTTTCTAAGCCTCCATGGCACTGTTAACACATTCACCCCAATAAATCACCAAAGGATAATTGAGATTTATTCATGTTTGGGAATGCAAGCCCCAGGGGGCAGCCATAAACAGCAAACAAGCTGGAGGGTCGGAGAGGCTTTTATCTTATAAACTAGAGACCAAAGAGTTCTGATCTGGACTTTTCCCTTCCCTGCATTTCATATAATTTCAGGCTCACTGAAATGCCCTAGGGCTTTTCCCCACAGCACAGCTGCTTTCAAGTCTTACTCTCTGGGTCATCCCTACTGCAGACATACCAAGGGCAGCACTGAAAAATCAGCATGACACATAGACAAAGAGATAGCAACAAGGAAACCACCACGTGGGGACCAGCTGAGGCTCTTCTCCGATTCAATAACTATTTTCAAGTTACGGAAAGACAAGTCCTGTTTTAGATGTCAGCAAAAACGTTAAAGATCAGATTAAAAATTGATTCATCTATTTAGATACTTTTGGTATCAAGGTATTACCGCTCATGCGCCACACATACAGCCTCGAAATTACTCATCTCCTATCATTTTCAGATTCACCCTATTCTGGCAGAAATTAACACACAGCTCAGACTGCTGAGTGTTTCTTTGCTATACAAGACTCAATTGCCATTTTAGGCTAGATACCTGTGATTTTGAGGTATGAACTTACTGTTTACAATGTCACCTTGCAGCTGAAGAATTTGTGGAACAGGCATTGTGAGTATAACTATATCAAACTGTTCCGGCGGTCCCATTTTCCTGGAGACTTCCCATTTTCCATCTTGGAGAGAGATGCGAGTTACATGCTGTTCATAGAAGACATCTGCACCTGCTTGGAAAAAGAAGTTAAATACATGTAACAGTGAACTCCACAGAGAAAATGCAAAGTAGTTTCCATTCTAACTGGAAGACTTGCAAACAGCAAAGCACACAGACAGTCTTAGGACAAAGTTCCACAAATTAGGTTGAATCAATTTAACAGCCAGCATATGACATTAAAAGAGGGGATCCTCATCAGCTGAAAAGATCCCATCACTCCCCTGTGCTAGGGCTGGTATTCATCTGACTCCTCTCTGACATGATTCAGCTCAGTAAACAGATGGAAAACTACCAGCTGCTCTCTTTGTCAGGTTAATTCACTGTGGCTTTAGTGAGCTGAACCAATTCGGAATGAAATCTGACGAATGCAGGAGGTGGCACAGGGTAAGAAATCAAAGCACACCTCCAGGAGGTGAAAACCAGAGCATTGCCCCTGTTAGCATCTCTCATGTATCAGAAGACAGGAATGTAGTTAATTATTTGCAAGATTAGGGTCTAAAAAAACAGCTAATTAAAAAAAGACAAAAGACAATCACATGAAGGGAGCAAAGCTTGACTGCTCATAAAGCTAACATTTTTCAAACCAGAGTTAAATTAGTCACTAAACTGCACAAGTGGTTCTGCCACATTACAACTAATGCAGTAGTCACACACTTTAAACCAGCAGATGATCTTCTCCTTCAGTCTTTTCTAAAGGACTTTCAACACAGTAGGCTCACATACAGCATAAGTGCTCATTTCTATGAAACACAGGATGTAACTCACCACTGTGTTCCCAGTTGCTCCATTAAGCAGCACAGTTAACTTAAGTACACACTTGTGGAAAAACACCCAAACACTCACTTCATTCAAGTTGCAACTCAAATCTCTTCTCAACCATGATCTCACTCCCACTGAATTATCTCTGTCCTAATTGTGTTAGGTCTGATTTTCATATGCTAAAGCCAATGGTGTACATATAAGCTTGGCCCCTGCTCCTACAGACGTTATATTTGTACAGAGATTTTTATGTGCCAGCAGTGCAGCTGAAGTCAGTGAAGTGCTTGCAGGACTTGGAAATTTATGGAGCTCACAGACATGTTTATCCATCTAAGTAACTTCAAGACATACATAAACAAACAAGGAACTTGAACATTCTCATTGGAGATTTAAATTTGAAAGACAGTTCAAGAATGCCATCAAAAACACAATCATTAAAACCTTTCATTTCATACACAGGCATCTAAAAAATTACCTGACTGCTTTAAATAATACTTGACAACCGAGGAGATGCCCTGGGGTGCCACGTAATTGCAGGAGCCTTCTTTCACTACCATTCCTTCAATGGGTGCAGTCAGTGGTTTCAAGATACCATGAGACAGAAGTTCCTCATAGAAGCTTAAAGGGAGCAAATAACACAGAGATGAAAATAGACTGCATGAAAACCAACAGCAGCTGTTGTTATTTCTTTACAATTAAAGTTAAGACCTGCCTAACTCAAATTTAAAGAAGTTTTTAACAGCCTCATACAACCTATGTTTCAAGCCAGGCTAGTCAGGAACAGGAACTATAGCTATAAAATGACAAACTACCTTGCTGTTTTATTGGGGGCTGACCTTTTACATGAGACCAAGGCTACCTACTGTGCCTGTAACAGAAACTGTTAGTGGCTTGACCTGAAGGTTTCAGGACCAACTGTGGCAGGGGCATATACAACAGTTACTTAAAACCCTGAACATCAGTACAAACCGCATTGCCACCGTGAAGCACAGGAATATTCCAACAGCTGGATGCAGGTGCCCGAAACACACCTACCTTTTCCCTGATTTCCACACAAATTTTGCATTTTTACATCACTGTTACATCACCATCACCATCCCCTTTCCCAGCCTACGGCAAACCGTCCCGTGTACCCAGCAAGCCCAAGCAGGCCTCACCAACGCGATCCCCCCCCGTCCCCACAGCCTGCCCCCACTCTTCTTCAGGTCAGAGACAGCACATCCCCGCAGAGGCAAGGCACCTCACGCTTCTTTCACACGGAGCTTTCCTGCCACCTGCGCCATGTCCAGGTGACTCTGAGGCGCGTTAGCTCTTGAAAGCACAGATCTCTACGGATTTAAGCAGCACAGCCACACCCGCCTGCGTTTCCTACGGCGGGGAGGGTTGGCCCCACGGGGGAAAAAGCCGCGCCGCGA